CCACCATGCCCAGCTCTCCCCTTTATTGTTTGAGACAAGCTCTAAGTTGCCCAGGCTAGGCTCAAACTCTACACCCGTCTCCCAGGGTCCTGGGATTACAGGTGTGTATCACGACTCTCAGCTTTTTTCCCCCTTGAGCCCCTGAGAGACAGTAGAGCTGGGAGGTGGCTTAGGAGCATGAAGGTAGAAAAGTCAAGCTGAAGGGTGGGGGAGGACACAGAATAGAGATTACCTGTTAACCATCTTCTTAAGTCTCACGGCCCTTTGCAAACTCTGCAAGAAAAGGAGATCTGTTGATCTGCCTTGATCTCCAGAGCCTCCCTACCAGTACCCTTTTCCTAGTATGAGTTTCTACACCTCTTCTCAAAGGAAATAGTTAATTTTGCACAGGAGAAGGGAAGGTCTACTCTTTTTAGAATGGATGAAAGAAAGCATGCATGCAGGAGCTGGGGAGGAACACATATGCCAGATACAGACTCCTGCTCCTCTTCCTAAACTGGGCTGTTACAGCAAAAAACCAAAAAACACAAAACACACTTTTTTTGTTGTTGTTTTTTTTCCAGTACCGGGAATTGAACTCACAATGTCGCACTTGCCAGGCAGGCGCTGTGCCTCTGAGCTAAATCCCCAGCCCCCACACTTCTGATAATTTGAGTTGGAAATCTCAAGGGAAACAAACTCTGTCAGCCCACTCCCTCCTTCTAACTCTGCATACCTCTTCTACCTTTGTCATCTTTTCCACAGACATGTCTACAGCTCGATAAAATCTGAGGAGCCTGGGCAGGCTCTCCTTTCTGTTTAGTTCAGTCACCAAGGTTTCAGTAGCCATAGTGACATGCAGGCCTCCAACAATGAATGACCCCACACCTAAGAGTTGATTGGTTACCTGGCCTGTTGCCCTGGAGACCTGAAGAGAATCTTGGTTCTCTGGGCTTCTGTTAATGACACAGGAAAACCTGTGAGAAAGGGCCACAGTGTGTTTCAAGATTGCTTCAGTTAGAGTCCCACAGAGTATCTGTGAGATCATAGGTTCAGCAACGCACAGTCCCACCAATTCCCTGGAGGTACAGCCTCATCCCTATGCAAGTGATGATGAACCTTTGAGAACTTTCAGTGATAGAAACAGCCCACTGTGGCAAGTGTGCTACAGGATCACCACCACTGCTCTACCCCATGCTGTTAAGAAAGTTCAGAAAATATATTCTATCATATGCCTGTTTTACTAAAGACATCTGTGAATCAATGAATCATATACTTTATTGTTCGACAGTTCATTTTTTTATTAAATAACTAATTTATAAAGTCAAACCAGTCCATTGGCTAATTAGGGGAAACCATGCCTTCACACTGACTCCTACCATGGCATAGATTATGCCAGCTATTATTATTATTTTTTGAGACAGGCTCTCATTATGGAATTGAGCCTGGCCTTCAACTTGCCGTGATCTTTCCTTCTCAGCCTCCCGAGTGCTGGGATTACAGGCATGCATCACCATGCTTGGTCTATTCCAGGTATCAGAACATTCTCATTCATAAGGAAATTGAATTAAAACAGGAGGGAAGACCCTTGCTCATCAGGAAAATTGTGTTAATGTCCCAACATATCCCACTTTACAGTGGAATACCAGGGTAAGTTGTTCCACAAACCACCTACTTCCTTACCACCTCTCCCCACCGGTTTGTTTTGTTTTGAAGTTGCTGTATGTTTTTGTCTGTAGCTCAAACTGGCCTTGAGTTTGCAAGGTAGCTAAGGGTGCCCGTGAACTCAAAATTCTCCTGCCATAGACTCCTGATTGCTGGGATTACAGGACTTAGTCACCACACCTGGCCTCCTATCTGCTTTCACCACCAAGCAATAACTCTAAAACACCCCAAACCCAAAATAGTTCCCAGTCAACAGAGTACAACGGGGAAGACAGGGAAGATATCTCATCTCAACTCTCACCTTTGAGATTAAACAGCCTGGAAAAAGGTGGGTGAACTCTAGCCAAAAGTAAATGAAACATTTTAAGGAAGGTCTGACAAAAACCCATTAAGAATGACATATGAATTCAAATCCAGAAAAAAGTGCTACTGTGGGAAAATAAAGTCTGAACTAATGTTCTGAAAATGCCTACTAGAAAAGGGTCGGAAATGACCCTTCAGGAACAGGGGCTTTGGCTGCTGAGCCAGGTGGCTCAAACGCACCCTGCAAGCAGCCTGTCTTGCAAATGGCAACTGTCTGGCTCAATCTGCAGTGCGAGTCTTCTGCTCCATCACAGAGTACTTTCCAGTGTGTTATAGTTGTCCTTAAAGCTCTTTAATTCCAGGAAGTGCTTGGCACGCTTGCTCTTCTGACTGGAGGGTAGATATGTTACTTGGATGGTTGTAGGGGAGACTTCAGGAGACTGAGTTAGGTCTTTGGCTGCTGACTGATGCTGTCGCTGAGAGCTCCCAATTCGTGCTTTGACCCTAAAGAATACAGACGACGGTTATGGATAGAATACTAGATTAGAATTCAAGGCTTATCCTACTCCATAAATGTTGCCACAAATAGTCCTGTTTGATCTTATGGTTTAAAGTCCCATCCAACAGCACAGAAATAGCAGGGAAACTAATTTCCCACTGAGTTCTTGTCTCTGGAACAAGCTTTCTTTCATTACACTATGGTTAAAGAAAACTTTTAACTCTACCAATTCACCTAATATGTGTAAGTAGCTAACAACCCTCAGTCCAAAGAGTCCCTTAAAAACTAAATAACAAAAAATTAGCATTAGGACATGACACTTGGTGATTTACTGGTATGTAATTTACCAGCATTCCCAGTATGCCTATACTGTGGCATCACCTGGTTTTGCAGGAAAGGAGACCAACAAGTCACACAGGAAGTGATAGACTGGGGACTCAAACCTAACTATGTCGGATTTGAAAGCCTATACTCTAAATCAAAAACAAAACCAAACAAAAAAACCTTAAAATCAAAGCCTATACTGTTCCACTATACCTGCTGAACATTCCCCACTGAAACTAAAGAAAGAGTTGGGCATGGTAGTACACGCCTATAATCCCAGCACTTGGGAGGCTGAGGCATGAGAATGTCTGCAAATTTGAGGCCAGCTGGGTTACACGCTGAGTTAAAGGGTAGCCTAAACTGCAGAGCAAGATCCTGCCTCAGTTGAAAAAAAACAATTAAAAAATGGTACTGGAAGTTGAATTGAGGGTTTTATACATGCTATGCAAGTCCTCTACCACTGAGCTACATCACCAGCCCTTTTCATTTTTATTTATAGAGTCTCACTAAGTTGCCCAGGTTTGTTGCAAACTTGCAATACCCTTGGCCTCAACCTGCTGAGTGGCTGCAATTACAGGAGCTACGCCATTACACCCAGAGAAAGATATGTATTTATTTATTTATTTATTTAGGTTTTCTGAGACAGGTGCTTGCTATGTAGTCCAGGCTGGCCTTGAATTCACTGTGTAGCCCAGGCTGGCCTCAAACTTGTAATCCTTCTGGTTCAGTCTTCTGAGTGGTGGGATTACAGGTGTCCCATGCCCTGACCCACAGAAAGTTATTAAAAAAAAAAAAAAAAAAAAGTGTGATAAAATTCACATGATATACTATTTATCATCTTAGCCATTTAAAAATGTGTACATCAGAGCTGGGTGTGGTGGCACACCCCTGTACTCCCAGCGCTTGGAGGCTGAGGCAGGAGGACTATCATGAGTTGAACACCAGCCTGGGCTACACAGTGAGTTCAAGGCCAGCTTGCATTACAGAAGACCCTGTCACCAAAAAAAAAAAAAGTACACAGCAGCAGTGTTAAGTACAGTCACTCTGTTGTGCAATCAACCTCTAGAATGTTGGGGTTGCTGGCATGGGCCACCACACTTGGCTTCCTTAGGACCGTTTGTCTTTGCTAGTTCATTTGCAGTGACAAAGAGAAGACAGGAAAGACATACCCCTTGTCACCTGTGACACAGCCTTAATGAACATAGTAGAAATTCTGTTTTGAGACAGGGTTTCACCATGCAACTCAGGCTCAAACCTGTGATCTTCCTGCCTCAGCCTCCGAGGGTTCTAGGATCACAGGTGTGTGCCACCACACCTGGCACATGTGGTAATGTGGGCCAGACACAGTGCAATAGCCTAGAAACTGGTAGCTCTTATGACATTCCGGATTTTGTTTACACTGCTTTAGGAAGGTCATTACATTGTGGGTCCGTGCAGTACTTCTAAATCTTCTAACTAGCCCCTCTAACATGTTCCTCTTCAAACTTACACAGTGGCCAGCTCACTCAGGGCCTCCTGGTAGCGTAGGTACTCACTCTGGCCAAAGACCTTAAGCAAGAGAAAGGAAGAGTGAGAATCACAGTCTGACACATCCCTTTAGATCCTGAAGGAAAAACTGGCCATCCAGCTTACCCCTGTCCCATAGCGGGCTGTCTCATAGCCATCCAGCAGGGTATCAATGAGAGCCTTGCGAACACCCTTGAAAGGAGTACTAGTGTTTCGCAGATCTAGCAAGTAGGAGCGGAAATTCTTGCCCATTAAGGAACGAGGATGTCGGCCTTCAGCATGAAATGGGATCTCTAAGGAGATAACAACACAATGACACCCATTTTCCCAATTTTTAGTCTTTCTAGGTGATTTCCCAAGTTAGACATAGGTCTAATGAAACCAGGGGAGATAAATTCTTATAAAATTAAGAGCAGAGGTATACAGTTATGCCTGAGTGGTCACACAAATGTAAGTTATGCCAGTGGCACAAGATACCATTAGCATCCTTCTTACTAGCCTTCTTACCCATCCCAACTTTAAGATAGAAATTATGTTTTGGTAGAGACAAAGCATACTTGACAAGTGGTCACAAAATGGGAAAAACAAAGAACTATCTGTTTCGAGTTTAATGAAAAAGCAAAAGTCACAGCCTTTTGTGCAAAGAAACTAAATTACTGTCTTCTAATTCATGAAACTAAAGGTCTCAAGAGAAGAGCCTTAAAAATCAGAAACAAGGCTGGGGATATAGCTCAGTGACACAGCAAGTACAAGGTCCTGACAAGCCTGGCAAGCATAAGGTCCTGAGTTCAATTGAGTTCAATTCCTAGCACAAAAAAA